ATTTTTCCTCTCTCTTCACTAATTCCAAAACTTTCAGTATTTATCTGACAATTTATCTCTCATTCTATTTAGAAATCCAAAATTATACTGAAGGTTTCCTTGGGCCTTTAATAATCTACATATCAACCTTTATTCTACCTAATCCTGTAAGTGACCATCATCATGAATATTTACGACCTTTTATAATCTAGGAAAATATTTGTCATGTCTACTTTATAGTAAATTTAACTTCTTACTTAATTCAAGAGTAATTTTCATTTTTTGATTGAGCAGGAAAATATTGTGCACTATTTTTTTAATATTATCATTCTCTTTTTTGCACTCCTACAAAATATCTTGAACTTAAATACAATATTTCCAAAATGTAGTTCAATAAAAGAAGCACATTCCTTCTTGTGCAATTCATAGGAATGCTTTTGTACATCAAAAAGGAAGACTTTATTCCCCTGATTCATCTTTATTGACGAAATATCATTTATTCTAAGTTGCAAACACATGAAGTAAGTCAATTGAAACTAGTCTCTAAGTTAAACTACTTCTGTTTCTAACTATAAATGTAAATATTCATGTCTAAGAAACAACTAGAGGCAAATATTATCTAAGACATCTTTTATTCTAAGAAAAGCATGCCAGAAGGGTTTTAAAAGATCCTCTTGTCATGTAGAGGAATAAGAAAAGGTGATTTATATATTCTTGGTTTATAATCATCATGGACCTAAGATTTGGCTCAGAATCCAAGCCAATGTAGAAAGAAATGACTTAAGAATATAAAAAATACAGGTGCAGCTACAATTCAATTACATATTTCCCCTTTTTGCAGGGTGTGTCTTTGTTCTCACAGCTGGAGATGTGTACTTCAAATTTTCAACAAAGAAAGTCACCACATTAAAGAACTCTAGAAATTCCTATAACAAAAACTGTAGCAATAACCATGCAATTTTCAATTGCCTTTCATAAAAATGTAATGTGCTTTAATCTTCTGTTCATTCGTACTCAACACATTTGGCAAAGTACACTAGTAACAGAAATGAAAACAATCATTTGAATACAAAGCTTAGGAAAAAAGACTCACATAAAGTATCTGTAACCAACATCTCCTAAGAATTTATTTTCAATTTTTTTAAAGAAGTATTAGAAAAAATTCAAGCATTCCATTTATGATCTAAGTTTGAAATACTCAATTTTAGTTTTGCCTAAAGGAGGAAAAGAAAACAAAAAAACAATTTTGATCTAAATAAAAACACTGGGTTTGAAACCAAACTGCCAGTTTTTAATCTATTCATTTCCCCAAATGTATAAATGTGCTTTCTACCTCTAGTGTTTTATCAGTTCAACAGTCATAATTTACACAAAACACACAGATGGTCACAGAAATAGTAAAAGTTTCAGATGTTACAACTTCCTGGCATATGGAACACTATAGTGGATCATCATTTTGGCAGCATTCAAATGATTTTAAAATTATTTATACATTCTCATCCTGCCATCGTTTCATAGTCATAGGTTATTACAACTCTAAATTGTTTGATTCCCGATTAGAAGTGATTCTTATATTGACTTCAAGCTACTCATGTGACTGGGGACTGATGCTTTTTAAATTAGAAGATAGCATCCTTCTAGACAGAAAAAGTAAATAAAGATATTATAATAAATTAGGCATTTTCACATAAACCATAAAATTTTGTCTCATTCAATATATGATACAGTAGGACATTCCAAGATTTTTTTTTTTAAATTCAGATTTACTACAGCAGTTTAAACTGTGAATGATACAAAAAAAAACTAATACACACAGGTGCACACACAAAACATCCTTCAAAATTAACATGAACCTTTTTAACATATGAGATTACAATCACTTTTATTTTTATATAATTTATGAGATACAGCATAAGAAGGATCATCCATGATTGACCACCAAGTCAATAATTCCCATGGTTAATTACCAATCTTCATAGTATTTTATCTACCAGCTACAGTTGACTCAGTTACTGCTGACACCTCCTTAAAATGCAATATTGGTGGCTGCCCTCTGGTTTTCTTCCTTTCTCATTGACTAATCCTTCTCAGTTTCTGCTGCTCTTTCTGCCTCTTCTCCCTGAGAGCGTGGCCTTAGAACTCTTTCTTTCTATGCATAACCACTCCCTGGATAATGTCAGTCTCCAAATGATGTATACACACTGATGAGTTGCAAATTCATCAGGATTGGCTGCATTATACCATGGTAAGAAATTCTCAAATGATTTAATACAGCAACAATTTGTTGCTCATTCATTCCTCATGTTGATCACAGAAGATAGAGGTGGGGCAAAAGCTCTGTTGCACATAATTCAGGGGCTGAAGCTCTCAAAGTGTCCTCCATGTTGTAGCTGCTCCACCTAAAACATGTGGCTTCCCTGTTTGCAGAGCGGTGAAGAAGAGCATTCCTGGTTTCACTCAACTACTGATAATTTCTTTAATTCACTCAGAGCCCATAAATCTGAAACAGTCAATTAGGTCTGCTCAAGATCTCAGGAGACAGGGAGGATGACATAGGAATGAGTACTCACATATCTACCACAACTTAATTTTTTCTCCTGCCTCAACCTCAACTCTGAATTTCTGATTTACATATCCAACTGCTCATTTGACTTGGATATGTATAAGTATTTCAAAACTCTCTTGTCAAAAACAACCCCTGGTATGTCCTGCCCCAAATCTTCTTCTATAATCTGCATGACAGTTAATAACATCAAGGGAATGGGTTTATGGCTCAGCAGTAGAGCGCTCACTTCGCATTGCAAGGCCCTGGGTTTGATCCTCAGCACCACATAAAAATAAATAAATAAATAAAGTTATATTAAAAAAAAAGATGTCTGCACCTTTTCACTACCCAGACCAATCAATGAAGGAAATGCTTGACTTTTCTTTTTTTCCATAAGCCATATCTAATCCATTAGCAAATACTGTTGGCTGTTGCTTCTCAGTTTATGTTGACTCTAATCACTCCTCACAACCTCCATTCCTAGCATACCAGTTAAAACCATCATTTCCCTCTTGCCCTGATTAACAAAACTCCCACCTGGCTTTCCTGCCTCTGACATTGCCACCTTCTGTGTGTTCTGGAGACAGCAAAGGCTTTTTCTGAGAAACCTCTGATTCTTCCCATTTTACTTAGAAGAAAAGCTGAACTATTCACAATGACTATAAAGTCCTATGCAATCGCTACCTGTCCCCATATGGCATTATCTTCTACAAATCTCTCTGTTGTTCCCTCCATTCAACCCACACTAACTTAGCACTTTAGTGACAGTGTTAGTTGCACCTCACCTTAGGGTCTTTGAATGTTCTGCTTTGTCTGCCTAGAACACCTTTTTTTCCTGAAACTTGTAGAGCTTCCTTCCTCATTTTTTTCCCATTTTTTTTTATATGAGACATTCTCTGATCAGGCTATTGAAAATTTCAATCCTACTGGACCTCTAATGAATCCTTCTATATATTGACTCCTTTATTTTTCCAAGACACATTATACTGTATCATACCATATATAACATTTAATTAGTATTGTCTGTATATACACTTTTAGAATGTAAACTCCACAAGGGCACTCACCAATTTTGGTCTAATGATACATCTGGGGCATTGAGAATTTTGTCATTAATTTATATTGAAAACAAATAGGTAATCAGGAAAGACATAAGGGAAATCAGGGATAATAATGGTTTCAATGTGTTTGAATTATTAAGGCAGAGAAATGGGAATTACAGATGATGATCATTAAATGATCTAGAATACATGTTTAAGGATAGAATATTCTTATCTTAATTGTGCATAAACCCAAAAGGAATTTGTTATCACTAACAAGAGAAGCATTTGTTCCTACACCCTCTATTCCCCTGTGCTATGGGCTTCATTTCCCATAACCAACTTTTCCACATGTAGTTTTCACTTTGACATGTGACTTTTCAACACCTCTTAAATACAGAGCTGAGTCATCCTCACCCTAGTCCCTAGAATTTCAAAAATCCCCTGAGGCTCATTCTAATTCAAATCAGTGCAGAAAAAAAATGCTTGGTTGTCTTTTAAGGTCCCTAGAACTTTGCCACAACCTTCTCTTCTTTCCTCCTATTTAATTAGCACACTCATCAGTTAGCTGGTTGCTTAGAAATAGTGCAGGCATTTAAAAGATTTATGTTATAACTGTGTTCTTCAACAACTTTAGCAGTGACCTTTACTCACACACATATTCTCCTAGGGAACTTTGATTCTTGGTAAATGAATTCACAAAGGACAGATATCAGCGCATGCAGAAAAAAGGAAAGTGTAAAGGGAGATATTTTACAATCATAGAATCAATGAAAACTTGGTTGATGGAGGTGTGTTAGTGAACACCTACCACTACAGAACAAGCAATGAAGTCACACAGAAGCACTGCTATCAAGAAGAAAACACACAACCTACTACATATCATGTAATTCTCTACTTAGATCAGAGCAGGAACTCAAAATTCAATCACCTACTCTCACAGTTTTCTTTTATGAGATAAATTCATCATTAACACTCATGACGAATGAGATTTTATTTCTCAGAAACAATATCAAACTCTATGGAACAGAAAAGCAATTTTAAAAAGAGACAGAGATATAAAAAATCCTAAAGTGACTTAGGAGACCTCCTGGAAACATACTACATAACTAAAAATTTTATGAGAAACACTTTTAATGGTAATACGTGGAAATGTTATAAGCCCTGAGTTACAATAATAATTAAATTCACATAAAAGTGTTAACTCCAAGACATTAAAATTGAAATTATAGTTTCACTTTTACTGATCTTTAAACTAAACACCGTGCGTTTTCTTCACTTATTTTCATGTCTATAGAGAGAGAATTGACATATATTTATTTTAAGGAAGAATTGAAAAATGAGAGCTAATGCTAGTCTTCATCTAAGAACAGGAGCAGGGTGAAGATGTGTACAGTCAAACCTGAAGATGTTCCTGCTATTGGTTAAGTACTTACAGTTATTCTTTCATCTTTGTCATCCAGTGGAGAGCCATCCTTCTTCCAGGAGATGGTGGGCTCCGGATGGCCTCGTGGAGGCTGGCATTCCATGACAGCAGGCTCCCCTACTGCCACCATAACATCGGAGGGGTTTTGTCTGAAGTCATCCCGTAGTACTGTAGGAACAAAAATAAATCATTGTACTCAATAGTGACACATGCAATCCTTATCTCTGCACTTCAGCAAAAGAGACATTTACTATAATAAATTACTACTATTAGCGATCACAATGCAGCTTGAAGAATATCTACTTACAGACAACTTCAATGTAATAAAGATATTTGGCCTTAGCATGCACAGGAGGGGTAATTTGACATTCTTCAAAGGCCAGTGGGTGAATGTAGTCTGGGGCCTAGTGCCTTCACAGTTAGCATTTGAGTTCATTTTAACTTGCATTTCTTTGCTGCCTACCGCCTGTATTTTTTCTTTCCAGATGCTAATGATTATAGTTCCTTTTACTTATCAAGATGATGCTCTCTACAGTTAAATAAATTATGTATACATACACACAAAATATTAAAAGGAAAATAAAGATAATTCTAAACATTATTAATTGAAAGATGTTACAGATACCTCAAATTAATGTTCAAGATTATATTATTATTATAACTTAAATGTACACATTAATAAAAAATGAAAGATTATTAACTTATATAGTATCAACCCTATAGTTTAGAGGCGTGAACAATTCATTACTGTAATCTCAACTGGATACTAATACAGTATTAAGCTGCTATAAGATAAGCAGTGTTATTCACTTTGTGACTGTAGGAATAAAATGTGAAAAATTAAAACAATATGTATTCATGAATACTTCATATGGTAAAGTTGTCCTCAGTATCTTGATAACATCGAACCATCTCAAATAGGTTGGCATCAGTAAGTCCTAAATCACAACTCTGTTGTTTCCTAAATATGTATTTCTTGAACACATTCTTTATGATCTCTGTTTCCCGATTTACAAAACTGATATGGAATATATACTTCATTGAGGTCTAATGAATAGTTAACTTCCCCATCTTCAAATCCTTGATCCTGGGTGTAACAGAATGTGACCCATTGTAGAAGCCCAATTTAAGACAGTGCTTAAAATGTTTATAGGTATATTAAGATATACATTATGATAAAGATTATTTATCTTTTAAAATAAATTGCTTTGCAGATTTGATACTACAATTGTACATTGGAATGGATGTCTTTCCATCCTAATGGCATTTAAAAATGTTTTCACAGATGAAGCACTACAATGTGAAAAACTTATACTCAAACCAGTATTTCAAACATTACTCTTAAATTTTAGTTTCAAAGCCTCAAATTAATAGGTTTTCCAAAGGCTCTATTTTCCTATTTCATTTCTTGAATTTTGTTCCTCTATACCAACTGAACACATGCATATATCTTAGTAAACCATAGCACATACTCAAAGCAGTTCTTTAATTAAAATATTGAGACAATTTGGGCAGACTATGACTATGCTAATGCCTGGAAAATACTTGCTTCACTATCTTTGGAAAAATAGTAAAAGAAAAAAAGACAAGGAAATATTACTGTACCAAGCTGTTGTGATTCTAACATCATACACTATTAATAAATTATACACTATCAATAAAACATAGACAAAAAAGTAAGATTTGTTGAAATAAAAACTCTACCTACCTTTACCACATAATAAAAAAAACAGACTATTAAGAATTTCACTATTTATAAGCTTAGATTATTATTACATGTTAAGAATGTACTACAAAAAAATGTAAGTTTTATTAAAAAAAAGCAAACGAATTAACCTTAACAAGCAACATGTATGTTTTGCTGGATAAAATTATTAATCTATGATAACACATCTGAAAAGCTTTAACACCCCAGAAATACCCAAACTAAAATATTTTTCAAGTAAAAGTAAATAATTTGCACAATTTTTCAATTTGTTAGGCTTTAATCCAACTTGGTAAAACTATATCTTATTTACAAATTGAGATCACATCTCAAATAAACCAATGAATAATAAAATGTCTTGCAAAATATCAAAGGGCTATGTCAGATAAATCAAGCTATTTTTTTTCATTTATTATGTTATTGGGACTTTTACAGTATATAATGAAAAGCTAACAAAATGTAATCCATTAAAGATTGTTGCTTAGATAATGCTCATGTAATTATTTTTGCAGCTGTAAAGCATAAAACTCTAGCACTGCCTATGGCTACAGGCAATCCTGCATAAAACTATGAATTTAAGATTTTTCTCCTCTCTTTCATAAAAGCAATATTTCTTTCTTATTATACTTGCCCTGAACATTTTCTTTTGAGAAAAAATGGTATGTGTCACATTATAAAATGATATGAAGCCTTAGTTAAATTGTTGAATTTTCTTAACACATGTGTATATTTAATTCATTAAAATAAAAATAAAATCTAAGCAATTGGCAGCAATATGGAAGAAAAATTTTCAACATCCATATGTAGACCCAAATCCAGATCTTTTTAAACATCTCTCATTTTCTCCTCTAACATTTCTCATAATCAGTCTATATTTTGTAATGTTTCTCAATTTTATTTTATTTATTTATTTTTATTATTGGTTGTTCAAAACATTACAAAGCTCTCGACATATCATATTTCATACATTTGATTCAAGTGGGTTATGAACTCCCATTTTTACCCCGTATACAGATTGCAGAATCACATCGGTTACACATCCACGTTTTTACATATTGCCATACTAGTGACTGTTGTATTCTGTTGCCTTTCCTATCCTCTACTATCCCCCCTCCCGTCCGCTCCCCTCTTCTCTCTCTACCCCATCTCCTGTAATTCATTTTTCCCCCTTGTTTTTTTTTCCCCTGTCCCCTCACATCCTCTAATATGTAATTTTGTATAACAATGAGGGTCTCCTTCCATTTCCATGCAATTTCCCTTCTCTCTCCCTTTCCCTCCCACCTCTTGTCCCTGTTTAATGTTAATCTTTTTCTCATGCTCTTCCTCCCTGCTCTGTTCTTAGTTGCTCTCCTTATATCAAAGAAGACATTTGGCATTTGTTTTTTACAGATTGGCTAACTTCACTTAGCATAATCTGCTCTAATGCCATCCATTTCCCTGCAAATGCCATGATTTTGTCATTTTTTAGTGCTGAGTAATACTCCATTGTGTATAAATGCCACATTTTTTAATCCATTCATCTATTGAAGGGCATCTAGGTTATTTCCACAGTCTAGCTATTGTAAATAGCCATGAATATGGATGTAGCAGTATCCCTGTAGTACGCTCTTTTAAGGTCTACAGGGAATAGTCCGAGAAGGGCAATAGCTGGGTCAAATGGTGGTTCCATTCCCAGCTTTCCCAGGAATCTCCATACTGCTTTCCAAATTGGCCGCACCAATTTGCAGTCCCACCAGCAATGTACAAGTGTACCCTTTTCCCCACATCCTTGCCAGCACTTGTTGTTGTTTGACTTCATAATGGCTGCCAATCTTACTGGAGTGAGATAGTATCTTAGGGTGGTTTTGATTTGCAGTTCTCTGACTGCTAGAGATGGTGAGCATTTTTTCATGTACTTGTTGATTGATTGTATGTCCTCCTCTGAGAAGTGTCTGTTCAGGTCCTTCGCTCATTTGTTGATTGGGTTATTTGTTTTCTTATTGTTTAATTTTTTGAGTTCTTTGTATACTCTGGATATTAGGGCTTTATCTGAAGTGTGAGGAGTAAAGATTTGTTCCTAGGATGTAGGCTCCCTATTTACCTCTCTTATTGTTAAATAGTATAAAAAAATTAAATTTTAATTTTTAATTTGGGACTATATTTTTTTTAAAAAGTTCTCACTATTAATTTGAAAAAGAGTAAATAACATACATAGTATATTCAAGTACATGTCACCTAAGAAGGTGTTAAGACATAGTCATTCTAATATTATAACCAGATTATATTTCTTCCATATTTATGAAGTTTTATGGGTACAAGCTGGTGCATATAACACAACTCAAATGATTTCCACTTTTTCCTTTGTTAAACAGAAAAAACAAAATCTAATCATTTATCTTTCTGAGAAGATTTATACCGATTTTAATACAATTTGAAAATAGCAAAAGCTTTTTATCAGAAAAGAAAAATATCAGTGGTGTGCTAGAAACCTATCTGTGTAATGCTGAGAAGATAAGAGGAAAAGTAGAAAATAATATGTAAACGTAAACTGTTCCAAAAACAATGGAGGCATTAATTTATTAAAACATTCTGTAGGAACATTATAAAAAGTTAGAACTGAAAGAAATGAAACATTATAGGACAATATAGTAGCTGACAATATCAAATTCATCCCCAAACTAGATACAATGGAGTGTCAGGAAATTGCCACTTGCTAGCCTATGTGATTTGTCTGAAAAAAGACAAGAGGAAAACACAGGTATCCTTATTTCCTGTGCAGTACCCTTGGCTTTCTAACCATGTCCTCATTGTCCTGTACAAAACATTTCTCTGATCAAATACATTGTGTTTCTAATGGATTTGATCCAATGTGGTTCTCAGCACCACCACAGAAGGCTTGTCCTATGATGTCTGTACATCGCTGCACCAGGGTCTCATAACTCTATCCAGTCTTGATGGGCTCAAGTGCTCCTCAAGTTAATCTTGTCCCCTAATCATGTGTTCAACATCTGCAAACTATAATGCATCCAACTTCATGAAACATAGAATCTAATTGCACTTAGGGGCCTCAGGAGTATGTGGTACAAATTTTCTGTTTTAGAAATTAATAAACTAAGACTTTCATGGGTAGAGGACCATGTCACAAAGGTAATAAAAATGATGAAGATGATTTAGCAAAATGATAATATTAATGATGGTGGATGCTTAATGAATGTTTACTGTATAAGAAACCATACTAAGTATCAACTTACTTAATCCCCAGAACAAGCTTATGATAAAATGAGTGTATTAGTTTCATTACACAATGAGGAATATTTAAAAACTTAGTGGCCAAGTTAGAATTCAGTCTCTAGTATGATGAGATCTCTAGTTAGAATTCAGATCTCTAGTTGTCCACCTATCTGGTCTTAACACAGAGTTCACAATTCTAAGTACACAAGTATATGATATAATTAGTATTTCAATCTCTTTCCAATGGAACAGA